CTTACACGTGCTGTTCTTTTTTTCCATGCACGTAGAAAAGTGTCCACATTGACCTGTACCTCGGAAACAGCGACGGGTGTTTTAGATGTAACGGATCATTCACCTGTCGTAGTGGTGATTTGCTTTTGAAAATACCTACCATCACAATTGACACTGTGAAGTGGCAATGCAATCGTTGACTGTGATAAGCTGCATGGTGCTGCACTGACATGCTCTGCAACGTGAGCTTATATCCATCTTCTATCTATGTATGTACCCGAGGCTGAGTTGATCCGTACACCAGCACCATCCAACGTCCAAAGGCACTCACTCGTGTTTCTATCTCTCTGCTCCTTTGCCAGGCACTAACTATCCACTGCTGTTTCTGGAGATCTCTGGGCATGGCATACTGTGGTTAGCCTTGACTGTCTATTTCCTTCTGTTTAGTGATGTCACATCGCTAGTGCAGCAGTGTGCTCTGGCTAATTTGTTGACGGGTCTAGTAACCGACCTGGCTATGGTGGGGTATGTACTGGAGCGTGGGCTGTCTCACAATACACTTGGTCGCTCGTTGCAATGGGATTGTGAAACCCGATTGCGACTCGCAATTAGAAATGAGCAATCCGGTTGTGAGTTGCAAAACGGGAATGTAAATTTTTCGAACGTGATCTCTATAACTCAATGCACGTTTGTTTTATTCGCAAGAGCGTGAAGTGTATTCGTCCCACTTGTTAGAAATCAGGTCAATGTGGCCATGTAAACTCGTTTCTGCTTCCCAGTTCTACCAAGAACAAACATACAATACAACCACTACAAACATACAGATCGGCAAAGGTTGCTTTTCGCCGCAGGAGGCCTACGTATGCCATATCGCAGAAGCAGGTGGCTACGGTGGAGATTGTGGACCAGTTCTCCTTCCCCTCTGGTCACACTGCCCGAGTGGTGTTTGTGGCGTGTCTGGCGAGGCACTGCAGTTCAGGGGTAGGGTCGCTGTGTTGTATATTCAGCTCTATGTTTGGCTATTGATCCTAATTTACGGATGCTATATTCAGCTCCATGTTTGGCTATTGATCCTGATTTACGGATGCTATATTCAGCTCCATGTTTGCCTATTTATCCTGATTTACGGATGCTATATTCAGCTCCGTGTTTGCCTATTTATCCTGATTTACGGATGCTATATTAAGCTCCATGTTTGCCTATTCATCCGGATTTACGGATGCTATATTAAGCTCCATGTTTGGCTATTTATCCGGATTTACGGATGCTACATTAAGCTCCCGTGTTTGACTATTTATCCTGATTTACGGATGCTATATTCAGCTCCGTATTTTGCTATATATCCTGATTTACGGATGCTATATTAAGCTCCATGTTTGGCTATTTATCCTGATTTACGGATGCTACATTCAGCTCCATGTTTGGCTATTTATCCTAATTTACGGATGATATATTAAGTTCCATGTTTGGCTATTAATCCTGATTTTCGTATGCTATGTTCAGCTCCATGTTTGGCTATTTGTCCTGAATTTCAAATCTTGTGGATGAATGGTTCGTATGAACTGGAATCGAAGGTTTCGTACTTACAGATAAATTTTTACGGACTAAGATATTCCCACAAATATAACATTGGTTGCAAGGTGTATATACGAGACTGTAGTGCGATAGGCCTTGTAGTCACAACGGTCGAATTATGAAATTGTCTCACCAAGTTGAACTCGCCTGATTTAGCACAAACTCAGTAAGAACTCGATCTAGGTCACTGTTCCCATTGCCACTGCCGCTTCTGTTGCCACAATGTATTCATAGCAGTTTTTGGCTTTCAGTAGCAATTTTATACTCTGCCGTCTGAGGGATCATAACAGGTGTAACGTTTTGACATGTTATTCGGTACTGCAGGCGCTTTCAGTGTTGTCGGATGATTCTGTAGTCGTCATCACCACATGGGCTGCATTGGTGGCATGGTCACGTCTGGCACTAGGAAGGCATTATATTACGGATGTTGTTGCCGGGGGTCTGATTGGTATGTATTTCAAATATGTATGCGCTATATATATATATATATGTGTGTGTGTGTGTGTGTGTGTGTGTATGTATATATATATATATATGTGTGTGTGTGTGTGTGCATATATGTATGTAAATTTATATGTTAATATAACATCTGAGTTGTATGATTGAACATGAACCCAATTCAAATGCGTACTGTATCGCCTCATACCAGGAATAGTTTGGTTCGGAGCCACTCTGTTTCTACACTCTATAGGAAGTCGAAGATTCCATCTAAGCTGTGCATCCCATATTTACTATCTTCCTACTGTTCGTCATCCTTTACTTTTCGTTATATCATTCAGGGGCCGCCAACTTTGAGCTGGTAGCGGGAATACTCTGGCTCAGTCCGGCGGTCGTTCAGGTCTACCGAGGAACAGTGCTGTCCTATATCGGGTAGTATATCAAAATGCATAGCATGGACATAGTTGGATAATGGGTTTAGAGTCAGGGTTACGACTTACTGGAATGTATTGTAATGTAACGCGTAAATGTATTGAGAGATGGGTCGTGATAATATCACATATCGAATATATATTAAGATATATACAAAAACGACTGAAAAGCATCTACTGATAAAAGAGTCAGCGCAATAATACAAGCCCGACAGTAGATCCAGATGTATATATAAAAATAATAAGAAATGAGTCTCAACTATATAACTTGTCGGAAGATACATCGAGCTGGAATGTGAAATCATAAACAGAAATGATTTCAGTTGTATCTCAGTCAATATAGGAAGAAAAATTGTATAAATAAATTGAGAATGAATCAGTGTTACGCAACTTCGTATTCTATATATATATGTGTGTGTCTGTGTCTGTGTCTGTGTCTGTGTCTGTGTCTGTG